AGGGCTATCAGGGCTCAGCGGAAGCATCAGGATCAGTGCCGCTTTCCAGCTGATTGGTGCTTCTTCGGGACTGTCAGGGCTCAGTGGAAGCACCAGGATCAGTGCCAGGCTCCAGCTGTAGATCGGCGCTGATCCTGGTGCTTCTGCTGAGCCCTGAAGAAGCACCAATCAGCTGGAAAGCAGCACTGAACCTGGCGCTTCTGTTGAGCCCAGAAGAAGCGCCGATCACCTGGAATATTGCAGCATCTCCAGAGTCTTGCGATTTACATTCCAACTGATTCATATTTATGATGGTCACAGTGTCCCAGGGTCATGTGAAGTGACCAAAACCTGCTGCAACCACCCAGCAGACGGAGGGGAATAAAAACCAAACACCCTCCCACCTCATCCCCGCTGCCAATCCTCAACAGAAATGCTCACAACAATGAAAACCTCGGACAGGAGGAAGAGTGCCGCCGGGTGGGCAGGCAGGTGTCTTGCTCGGCTGTGGCTTGGGGGTACTTTTTTCAGTGCCATTGTAACTTTGAACAGTCACAATGGTGTACTTCATCACCTTTTTCCTTTTTTTTGTCATCAAGTTTTTGACATCTTGCTAGGCGACTGGTGGTACTCAGCTATTCCCATATCCTAAAAGTGGTACAATGGATGAAAAGGTTGAAAAGTCCTACACTAGATCTGCCAACAAAAGAACTGTCTTACAATTTTGAAGTTTGGATTCCCCCATATTATTTTTCAGCATATACATAAAATGAAACCAAATTTGATGTGCTGTTGTGTACAATGTCTTTTTTGCAAACTGGAAGAAGAGGGAAGTATGTATTTTTCAAGCAGTTGAACGTGTCTAATTTACAACAAGCATCAATTCCAGGATGGCCCATGAGGGAAGTATCCAGTAGGCAAAATAATCCTATTAATTAACTCAAGAAAATTTAAAACTTCACTGAAGATAGAAGTTTCCTGAAAGAAACTTAAAGAAAATCAAGGCAAAGAATTTCTCTCATTAAAATTCTGAAATAGTGCATTAAATTGCTGAACAATACCTTTTAGGAACACGTAGAATACCCAGAGTAGAAATTATCCATGGCAAGTTATGCCTTTTTAAAGTATTAGCTGGATCTCAAAATATATTTCACTTTTACTACTATAGCAATATATCTATATTTGGCTTTACTACCTAATATATATCTAAGTACTGTCACATCAAAATAAGTTATTGGCTCCAGGCCCTATTTAAACTATCCAGAGAAAATGCTTTTGACAATTAATATTTCACAAACAGTCTACAAATCTGGAATATCTACACAACTGTTTTCCTCAATTGTCTTTGCCATCCTGTTAGATCAGCCAGAATGGGCATACTCTGGGTCTCTTCTGCTGAACAATGCCATCTTATTAGACACCATGCCTTCCCTGTTGCAGCTCTGGCCCTCTGGAATATTTGCCCAGAGATCCACTTTCCCCCCATCTCTACATTTTAGGAAGGCAAAGAAGATCTTAATTTTCAAACAGGCCATGGGCTGAAGTGTTTTAGGTACTTCACCATAGCATAATTTAATTTTTATACATTGATTGTTTCTATTGAATTTTTTAATGTAAGCAATCTTGAGCCATGTTAGCCTAAAAATAATCAGTTCAGATTTAAATTTAAATTATTATTCTTGGGAAAATAATTAAAAACTCAACTAAATTATGTCTAACAATTATAAATTATAAAAATTATAATTGTTAAAAAGGAGATTATATGTTCACGCAGCATCCAGCACATTAACATCAATGGTAGCATTTGACATTTATAGGTCACATTTCTGTCCCTTTAAAATAAAAAATTAACGTTTGAACGCCACTATGAGAATCCAAATGTAAATGTATCTCAGAGGTCCCCAACTTTTACCAGTTCCATGGAGAGAGGTTTTTCCTCGGATGGGAGGGCATATGGTTTTGCGTGCTGCCTGCATCTTGTGGATGGGGCTTTGTTTATTTGTGCGGATGGATTGCTAACATGCCACGCGCGGCCCAGTACTAGTCCACGGACTGGGGGGGGGTTGGAGGCCCCTAATGTATCTAACTCTGACTCCTTAATTACAAAAATATACAGCTTAATTTATAGTCTGTGAAGAGTGAAGCAGGCTACTACATAATTGTGAGAAATAGTATGAAGCATATGCAAAAAAAAAAAAATAGGAAGCATGAATTTAATCAAATTGAACAAAAGCTTCACTGTTGTATTACATGCTTAATAGGTATCACAGAATTTAAAGCACAATTTTCTTTAATTTCCTTTTTGGATTATGCTGAAATTAATATTTTACATCTATGTCTAGTAAACAGGAAAAACATGTTCATGTTCATATATTGTTAAATTATTAAAAATACTCAATTGTGTAAACTATTACTTTTTTCTTGAAGAGGTAAGAAAAAGACTACACTGGAGAAACATACATTATTAATTTACTTGAGAAGTTTAATGCTTTACTTTAAAAGAAAAATTCAAAGTAAAGGGATATCCAGTTTTGTTCTCCACAAGAGTATATATAGTATAAGGGGTCTTTAATAAGAATAGATCATAACAGCAATAACATGGTTTTTAAACAAGAATATCTTCAGTTGTCACTAACTTCTGTTTTCTATGGCTAAATATGTCTACTATTACATTAATGCCTATTATTCCTTAATCATAATGGATTCATCAGCCAAAATGCTAGAAAGCTATGTAATCTCTATCGCTTAATGAATAGAAATGACTCAATTCACAATTATTTTTAAAATTTGTTTTAGTGGATTCTTATCTGCATAGGTTTATATGATAAAATATGATTCTTCCTGCTTCAATATTGTGTGATATTGTAGTCCAGTTATTTGGATTGGTCCCACAAATATCATATGATCTACAAAGCGCTTCTAGACCAGATTTTTAACTCAGCAGTTCAAATATAGTGGGAATACAGCTCCACCCACCAGCAAATTACATAACATACAGGGATATCATTAAAAGTAAAGCCTCTAATAGAAACAAGGCTTGATTTGCCACATCCAAACTATGAACAGGTATTTTACTATCTTAATCCTGGCCAAATAATATGTAATGTGCATATATATACTTTAGGGATACAATTAGTTAGGGTAACTCACTAAGTAATTTAGAGATTAAATGTCCAAATATACAACTTTAGCAGGCTTTCCATTTTTCCTAGCAGGATCATACAATATTTTAATTAATATCCCTTGTGAGTAGGAAAAGTGAATAGTTTTAAGTCAGTGACCCAAGTTAGTCTGAAAAAATTCTCTAACAAAGTTAATTTCAACTTATAAAGTAATAATATAATCCCATATATCTATTGTTACATCTAATATTAAAATAGCAATAATTTTCTTCTCAAGCATCTTGTATAAATATAGCATTCCCTAGATTTAAATCACATGTGTGACAGCAATGTGAATAAATTCTTGTTTGACATTGAACCATCAGAATATTCTGTATTAAAAATTTTGAGTATAGCTTGCCTTCATAGTAGCCCAAAACAATTCTGGTGATCTAGCAGCAGTTTACATGAAGGAAACTGTTCAGAATCTCAATTCTAGTCTGAAATGAATAATATTTAGTCCAATGGTTTAAATTCTGTTCCAGTTTGTGGTTTATCAAGAATTTTTTTTTTCAAAAAGAAACTCTGTAAAGAGTTAACAAAATTCTTGAAACCTTACTGAATAACTAGTATTTCAAAAATATTGATCGGAAACGCAGTTTGCTTCTAACTTGGTATGTTGTGGGAACCCATCTGTGATTATTTATTCAGTAAAATAAAAAAAATGCATAAATCCAATTCCTATGGAAAATTTATTTCACATTTCCCCAAATACAGTATGCTGCTTCCAAGTTGACAGAGGTATTTGTAACTAAAGACTTCAGCATTACCTAACGAAAAATCTTATCTAAACTTTAGCAATAGTGGCTGGAGTAGCGCAATATATTGGTTAAAATGTGATTGGCTACTTTCTGGTTCTAAGTGTGTCCTGTGAATCTAGCCAATGTGGTTAGCTTTTGGTTTACTGCTGTGCATAACAGGCAAGCAGATTCATTCAGAAAATCCTGATTCAGTTTAACACAAGTCAATTCTTTCTTGCCACAAAAATTCATATATCTTAAAAAAAAACTATGTTTTTGCAGAAAAGGCAAATATTACTAGTTAAAAGTCAGATATCAAATCCGTGCCACTGGCATTACTTCCTTAATAAGTGGGGCTTCGAAAATAGTAACAACTGCTTCACAGGTAACAAAACATAGCTAAACCTTCTAAACGTTTCCTGTTTTGCTTCATCGCGCGAAACAGAACGGTTTCCTCGCAAACCAGATTCACCCTCGGCACCCAAGGACTCTTCCAAACTATCCCACTTCTCCTACTCGGAGCAGCGTATTCCGCTTTCGACCTCTTTTCGACGACACCGTGAAGTTGCTTGCCGTTTCCTCCTTTCCTTTGGCGGCACTTCCAACCAAAACCCTCACGCCTGCCTGCCTCCACACATGCATTACCCCCTTTCTCTCTCGCCTTCTACTCTTCAAATCACACGCCAGCCGCCCTGCCCACCCCGCCCCCACTCAAGTTTGCACTTCGAGGCCTACCGCAGCTTCCTATCAATCCTCTCCAGCCCAATCGAAGCTCTCTCTCGCACCCACCCCCCCCGTCTCCGGTTTCCCTAACCCACCAGCCTCCTTTTCCTCCGCCTCCATTCCTCACGGAAAACGGGGTCTCGAAACTACCTCCCTTCCTATCGCCATCTCCTGCCCAAACCCGTTTCCAGCACCTCTCCATCCACTACTCGTCCCAAGCGCTTCCGCAGCCCGTCCTCCCAGCAACTCCCCCACCCACTCTCTCGCCAACCAGATCAATATAGCAGGCCTTCAGCCACCTTCTTCCTGCCTCTCTCCCAATTCCTGCTCTCGAAGCAGCACTTATTTACACTCCCGCCCCCTTGCCTACTCTGGAGTCTCCCCGCTGCCTTCCTACCTCAGTTTCTCCCCCGACGCTGGCAGCCACTCAACTCCCTCCTTAAGTCCAGCTCCTCTTCTCTTTTTTCCACGCAAGGCCGTGCTCACAGAACCAGGCCCCAACTCGCCCCCTCACTCTCTCCGTAGCTTCAGTTCCTCAGACCGAATCATAACAAAGCTCTGCCCAAAATGGCTGCCCGGACCGGCCGAGGGCCGGAGAGGGGCGGGGCTATTCACGCGAGGGGGGGTTAGGGGGAAAGAAACACGCCCACCTGGCCCTGCCCGTGCCAAGGGTGGAACGCACGCGCGCTCACTTGGTAAGCCATACAAAATAGCCGCACGCGCACCGCCTATCAAAGACTCTTCGGAACGTTCGCTCGAATTCGCCAGTTCTCTTACGCATGCGTGAGCGTGTATCATTCTGTTGGCGTTAAGTTATGCTCAGCTCGGTCTGCAACTATGTCTTTTACGCTTTGTTCTCTCGGTCGCTCTCCCTTGGCACAACTCTGGTGTTATTATTGCTCGGTGGTGTGTCTATTCTCGCAGCACGGTTATCCGTAGATAACTCGGTTCATTGTCTAGGGATCGCGTGACACCCTGAACCATAATAAACTAAGCGCATACCGGAAGCTTTTGCACTTGTCGATTTAGTTTGGAACTAAATGAGCCATGGAAATTGTATAATAATGTTTTTTTTTCTGCCATTCTCTATATGCTTTCGATAAACCAAATTTAAGATTAATTTTGCTCATTCAAAATTAAGGATATGTCTGTTACTTAAGAAAAACGTAGTAAAAAGTTTAAAACATCCGTAGCTATTTTACCTAGTATGTTAAATGAAAGTGATAAATTCCAGCATAGCCCCCTTAATCATACTTTTCGAGCTGTGTTTGTCCCCGTTTGTCTGCCATCTTTGTTACTTTTATATTGATTTTGTGTTTTTTGCATTGTTTCCTTATTTTTAAATTTTCTAACAATTTATGAACCTTCCAGAGTCAGTGAGAGTCAAGCATCAAAAACATTTAATTATTAACCATAAACCTTGGTGGTTAACTAATGGCTGTGTTCATGTAGAAAGTTAAAACAAACTAATCGATTAGGGCTTAAAATGTCCTGGTCATACAATAATTTACTAAATTTATATGCTGCCCATGTCCCCTATAAACTTGCGTTGTGAGTTTTTGGTTTTAGTTTAGATGTTGTGCTTTGTAAACCATAAGTTGTGTAAAGACATCCATAAGCCAATAAAATTTACTGAATGAGAAATGTTAGACTAATATGCCTTGTAAATGGCCTTTTACATTCCTGTAATGAGTCAGATCTAGATAAGATGTAAATCTGTCTTTTTTTAAAGCTACTAAAACAAAGGTTATGATCATGAATAGTTACAAAAGCATGCCAAAGGCAAGAATTCTAGATTATCTCAACTATTGTCATTAGACAACTGGGTCATTTCTATCAAAAAATTATTAAACAAAGAGAAATATCAGACGCTTTTCCATCCTACTCAGTCCAAGAATCCAAAGTATGAACAAATCCATAAAAAACAGGGATAGCTAGCATTTTATTTTTGCAAGACAGCACTGTTGACATACTATCTTTACAGGACATACTGAACCATAATCATATGTAATCATATGAAGGTTAGCAAATGTTAGCCGAGCCTGTGCAAATTCAGTCTGTATGAGGTTCAAAGCATTATGCAATACAGAATACTGGTTGAAGAAACCACAGTTAAGTCTACTATAGATTAACCCATCAAATAAAAATAGTTAATGTGATCAGTTTATGGTCCAAGGCTGAATTGGATTAATCTGGTAAACTATCACTCTAGGTAACCATTAATAGCTATGGTATGTGTATACCATCCTTTCTCTGCCATGCAAAAATATCTGCATTTTTTTCTGTACATTTTTGTTTGATGCCGATTAAAGTATGCCAAATAAGATAAAATTATTATACTTACCAACAAAGAGAAAATGTATAGTACAAAGCAGAGCATTTTATGGATAATTAAAAGGAATATTATTATGAGACATGGAATATGTTGTTTTTGATCATTCATACAGATTAAATGTTTTTACTACTTAAACTGTTCAGATCACCGAACAGTAAATATTATGTTTTCATTTTCTAGAATTTTAAATAATAACCACTGCCCTTTTGGACTGAAATAATCTGCTTCTTGTTATTGTTCTCTTAAATAAACCATCTTTCACACTTTCATATTCAGTGCAAATCTGGGTGCGATTGAAATGACAGTTTTGTCAGTGTGAAATCTGTCTCAGAAGCAACAAGAAAAGTTGTTAAATCATTGTACCTAGAAATATGAGCCAAAATTGTCCCTAATTGTGTTGGACTAGCACTGGGTGGAGGGGGAACCCATGTTCAGATCTATCGTTAACCATGGAATGCTAAATGACTTTAGGTCTCATTTCAGATATTTAATGTCAGGAAAAATTACAGGAGTGTTCTGTAAGTGATTTTTTGCTCCTGATTTTTGCATGATGGAAAAGCAGGATATACTTATAACACATAGACTATGTATTTGATGTGTTATAATTATATAATAGAGCTGGAAAGGACTTTGGAGGTCTTCTAGTCCAGCCCCCTGCTCAAGGAGGAGGACCTATCCCATCTCAGACAAATGACTGTCTAGCTTCTTAAAAATCTGTAGTGATGGAGCACCCACGATTTTTGGAGGTAAGCTGTTCCACTGGTTAATGTCCTCACTGTCAGGAAGTTTCTCCTTAATTTCAGGTTGCTTCTCTCTCTGATCAGTTTCCAACCATTGTTTCTCATCCTGCCCTCTGTGCTTTGGTGAATAATGTGGCCCCCTCTTCTTGGTGGCAACCCCTCAAATACTGGAATACTGCTCTCATGTCTCCCCTATTTCTTCTTTTCTTTAGACTAGCCAAAACCAAGTCCCGCAGCCATTCTTCATATATTTTAGTCTCTGAATTTTTTCCAAACTCTCAAAATCTTTTTTGCGATATGGTGACCAAAATTGGCTGCAGTATTCCAGATGTGGTCTTACTAGGGTTTTATAAAGCAATACTAATACTTCACATGATCTTGACTCTATGTCTCTGTTTATACAACCCAGGATTGTATTAGCTTTTTTGACTGCTGCTGCACACTACTGACTCATAGTCAAATGATCGTCCACTAGAACTCTAAGGTCCCTCTCACAGTTAGTTTTTAAGCCAGATCTTGTCCAATCTGTACTTGTACCTTTGATTTTTCCTGCCTAAATGTAAAACTTTTGCTTTTCTCCACATTGAAACTCATTTTGTTGGATAGGGCCCATTGTTCAAGTTTGTCAAAACCTTTTTGGATCCTGAGTTTGTCTTCTGGGGTGGTGGCTACTCCTGCCAGTTTGGTGTCATCTGCAAATTTAATGAGTTTCCCTTCAATTCCCTCATCTAAGTCATTGATGAAGATACTGAATACTGGGCCTAAGATGGAACCTTGTGGTACCTCACTGTTTACTTCTCTCCATGTGGATGTAGTGCCGTTGAGGACTATTCATTGAGTACGGTTTGCCAGCTAGCTACAGATCCATTTGGTGGTGATGTTGTCTATGCCACCTTTTTCTAGTTTACCAAGGAGTTGGTTGTGATCTACTTTATCAAATGCCTTACTGAAACCTAAGTATACTACATCCACAGCATTTAGCTGGTTTACTAGTTTAGTTACTTTATCAAAGAATGAAATAAGATTGGTTTGGCATGATCTGTTTTTAACAAAGCCGTGTTGGCTACTAGTTATAACTTTGTTTGCTTCTAGTTGTTTGCATTTCTGTTTTTTGATTATCTTTTCCAGGATCTTCCCAGGTATTGATGTTAAACTGATTGGTCTGTAGTTTCCTAGGTCTGTTTTTTTCCCTTTCTTGAAGATGGGAACATCAGCCCTTTTCCAATCCTCAGGTACTTCCCTGGTGCTCCAGGATTTATGAAGGATGTGGTGCCATGGTTCTGAGATAACATCTGCCAGTTCCTTCAGAACTCTGAGATGTAATCTGTCAGGTTCTGGTGATTTATAATTTATAATTCAAGTTATCTTACCATTATAAAAAACATTCAGTGTAGCCCATAATTGGCATTTTATGTACCATATGGATGCAATCAATGTAAAAAATTCTGTATTAAGACATCCAAATAATAAGAAAGACTCCTGATATATGGTCATTCTGGTCTTTTTTTCGTTGCATCTTAGTATGTAATTATCATGTAGTCCCAGTGCTGGTCATTTGTAAACCAGGGTTGTAGTTCCTGAGGTTGCATCCATCCAATTCGTGCAGTAAACCATGATTATAGAAATCACGTCTACGGCTCTTCTATATTCACTGCCCCACAATAGTCAACCAAATGCCGCATAATTTTTAGAATGAAAGTCAGCCTGCACGCAAACAAAAAAGCAGCACTAAACAATTCAAAAGAGAAGAGCGGATATCGCTCACCTTTCTTATACAAAGCAGGAACTGAAGAGAAGCCTCTGTTTCAGGCTGAGAGTCTATTGGCCTGACACGTATACCCGGCGGACTTAAATGGGAGCAAAGGAAGTGCTTTGCCTTTCAAGCGGATAACGGCTCGGGTGTTGGTGAAGTCTCTTTGCATGTTACTAGGGTCGTACTTAGCCCGAAAAAAATAAGTTTCTCCTATTTCGTACAATATTATACGAAATTCGTAGGTTGTTATGCTTTAGAGTGCCTCTGGCTTTCTGGAAAGCCTACTGTGCGAACCTGGAAAGCCATTTAGCAACGTTCCCCTCCCCCCCCCTTTTTTTTTTTTGCTAAAACTGAATCAAATATCGGATGACTTGGCTTTGGATTCTCCTCTGAACATTCGCTTCTCTATTACCTCCTTCAGTTTTTCCTGCTAGTATATGGTGAGTAGCTCCAGTCATGTAAATGGGGAGGGGGTCACGTGGCGACGTGGGGTTGAGCAGCAGAGTGAAAATAAGGTAACTGATAGCAAAGTCAGGTAAAGGAAAGAGGAATTTACTTTCGGTGTAATAACTGAGGAGAAAGCAAGAAGGATTTATCTTAAGTTTTAAGAAGGGTTTTAAATGTATTTCTCAAATTGAAATTAAAAATTAAACAAATTGAGAGGTAAGTTTAGTTTAGCGGTTAAGGATTTGACCTAGAAACCAGGAGACATTGAGTTCTACTCCTGCTTTAGGCTTGAAAGCTGGCTGTGTGTCTTTGGGTCAGTCACTCTC